TGGGCAGTTATCTCTGAAATATGCTGGGATTAAACCAGGTGTGTTTCACTGCAAAGTTACCACAAAAATGTAACAAGATTTACCTTAGGTTTTTTATTCTAGAAAATAGGAAAGTGAAAACCTTCTGACTACAACGTATGTTGCTTAAGGAGGTATATTCTATCTTGTTATTTAGCCAAAAGTCTACAAGTTCTTTGGCTGGGAGCACGAGAGAGAAGAAAGATAGAGGATTGGACAAAGATGAAGAATAAGGCTATGGTTAGGAACTAAAAGTGTAAAAGTTGCGAAACACTTTCGAATAACTAAGCACTCTAGTGGATTGTAAGCCACCCTATCCGCCCCAATACTAACTCACTTATTTGTCTCCTCACTTACTTATGGATGTGTGAAAAATTGCGAGACAGAAGAGAGGAGTAATGGGAGAGGCGTTTCGCCAGAAGGGATGCAAACGAAAGAAGACCTGCGCAGAGATCGAGAAGATAAGAAGACCCATAACAATTGGGTAGTAGGTGAAACAGTCACGCCAATTGACTGACAGTCTGCGTCCTGAAAGTCGACAAAGTAAAACCGCTAAAGACTGTGGCAATGGCTTTGAAACTTGCAAACATACGTAGGATGCCAACACGTTAATGCGATTAGGCGGCTGCGGAAACTTGCCGCCAGTAAGCAAATAGGCACACATTTTCTTTTGATAAATAGTCTTTTAAAAAGGCTTTTAAAGGATTAAATGACTTTTTAAGAAGCAAGTGCATTACAGCAACCCCTAAGTGATCCAACCCTACCTCCAGAATTGGTGAAATTGCAGTCTGTTTCTACGTGAAAGTTGCACGCTTAAATTAGAGCAAATGAAAGACTTAACAATAAACAATACAACTGAACCTACTTTCTCTGAAAACAATCTCTCTAGCTTCAGACGTTTCCGCTATAAGACCCTCAACATTCTTCACTAAGTTTGAAATTAAATCTGCGCCATGGGGGTAATTGAAGACCGGCCAACTTTCATGCATGAGTTTCACCTCAAATGTGTTCAACGTGCCTTCACGAATGGCCTTTAGCTTAGTTGGTGTGACGTCGAGAAGAAAGGTGCGAACGTGTACGATGGGGATGAGGAATGTGGCAGAGGCTGCGCCAATTAAGGCGACGATAGTGAGGAAAAGGCAGAAATTGCTGATGTCATGGAATGAGGAGCAGCATTTGAGGTCCCCCTTAGGAGAGACGCTGACGGATGTTCGACGTAGCTCTTTGGACTGGCTACCAAAAGAGCCCCTAGAGCGAGCCGAATTTTGGGTTCGGGGATGGCTTCTTCGCGGAGCCATTCCGTGTATGACTGCCAGTATTGATGAACGTAAAATTCAAAATTCTGGGAGGTTTTAGTTCATTGCCAGCACACTACCAAATGCGTAGGTAGAAACTAGAATTTCTGAAACAATTAACGGTGAGTAAGAAATTGGGAAAAAAAAACACTTGCAGCATATTTGGCTTTGCAAATCATTTAAGCCCAATTAACTAAAGAAAAGGTGATAAGCTTCATTTCGGTTTGAAATAGGTCTTCGTTACAAGTTTTTAGACACATTTAGGTTGGAAAATTGAGCTGTTCTCACTGAAATGTGTCATAATGGGACAGGCGGGAGGACAATTCGTACAAGAATCTGGTTCGTTTGGAGCTGTAAATATCGGGTTGACATCAGCTTTCCGTCTCACCTATTCTCCCCACATTTCCTTTAATTCCAAGCAGGCAGGTCCTACACTGGTGGCAGGGTGGGTCGAAATCCTCCTTATAAAGGAGACAGGGATTTCGATGACTGGCGTCTTTTCACAAAGGCAGACATCGAACTCCGTTATCTTGCGCGGAGAGTGGCCTTGCTACTTTGCGCCTTACAGTACGACCTATGCCGCGGAGCAATGGACGCGGCAATCACTCTCACCCCAGACAGAAGAATGCTTCAAGGTTCTCACCGGAATGGCATCCTTGCAAAACTAAGGGAAATAGGGGGAGAATAGAGGAGATGGGAAGCTTATATCAACCTGAGGACGTTTCTTTATGCTTCTCACGAACCGGATTCTTATTTGAATTGCTTTCCGCCTCTTCACTCACGACCGCGATATGATGAATAGTGTGAACATTTAAAAGTAAGTAGGAAGAAGTCTATCTACTAGGCGTAATTACAAGGTAAAAGCGGTTTCACAGACAGCTGTTTTTTAACCAAGCATTTTTTAACTGAAAGAAAAATAAATGCATTGTTTACCACTTCTATAATGTATTTAATTAAATCATCATCAGTGCAGTGTTGTTTCATGCCCATAAATAGAATCACTTGTCATTAATTTTATTATTTCGAAAGATACTACACTTACACCCTAGGCAAATAATTAATTTGTGTTTTGCATTTATTTTTTTCGATTAATTACCTAAATCAAACAAATAGTTTTTCTGTACTACACGGCTTTCGTTGCCATGATAGCAGCCGTTGGACAAATTCAACTGTTAAAGTTGGCAGTGTTTTGGAAGCCCCATTTGTATATTCGTTATCAGTGTTTCAAACTCCTTCTGTTTAATTCTTAAGATGCGTTTATAAATATATACATGAAATAAAAAACTAATATCTGCGCACTTAAACGTTTTGACATCTGCATCTGTGTTCATTCAGGTGCATATGTTAAAGGTCTGAAGCAACGGTCGTGATCGAATCGGTGTTTTTTTAATAAGAATCGAAACACCGCTATTGTAAATCTCAGGTGTTAGTGTTACTTTGTAAAAATGCCCGAAATAAATTATCCACTTATACTGCCTGAAGACAGTAAACGAATATTGTCTTACAAGGATGAAGATTTATTCTATGCAGATCGGGCAATGGTAAATTGTTCCATAAACTGATGCATTTTAAGTTTTTAGGCGAGAAATTTTTACTTGCTACAAAAACCCACCTGTTTTATGGTGATTGGAAATCCTTCCACAGGCAAAACCATTCTCGCAAAAAAGCTTGTTAAAGAAATGAGGTGTCAGTATATTCATGGTAAATCTATTCTCTCATTATACTACTTGCAGCTATGGAATTAATCGAACAAAATATGCGAGACAACAGCCTTCTTGGGAAATATTGTGCTGAACAGTTACTGTCTGGACGTACCTTAGCAAACAAAACACTTGTTGCGCTTCTAAAGGGTGCCACCTCCTTACCCGAATGTCAACATTATGGTTACGTCATGGATAGCTTTCCCACTTATCTTGCCTTTGAAGAACAATTGGAACTGGTGGAAAATTTGGCCCTTAAACCTGATTTTATTATCCAAATTGAGGTAGTACACTTGTGTCAACACCAACTCTTTAAGTTAAAAATTCTAATTCAGTATGTTAACTAACCTTATTCATTCAATGGGTTTCGCATGGTCAGAAGGTTGTACCGCTTTGCTCACGGCGATTTCATTTTATTAGATTTCAGACGAAGACCTACGCAGGAGGCTCGAGTCCCAACGCGTAGATCCGGTAGACGGAGAAGTTTATAACTACTACAATTTGCAAGATCCACCGGGTCCGCTCATAAAGCCTCCACCACCTGCAGCACCAAGCCCCAAACCAGGAGCCATGGCTGAGGTGGAGGAAGGACAAGCCCCAGATCTGGATGACATCCTCATGGAAGAGGGTGGAATCGGTGAAGCTAATAGGGAAGAGGCTGTGAAATCATGGCATCCAGAGTTTCCACGACCTAAAAAAGAAGTCATCGAGCGTCTTCTTGTCCGACCAGAGGACTCCCAACGCGAACTTGATAAACTCTTTAATCTTAGTAAAAGTATAGGTCAAAAGTCACTGCAACAATTTCTTCTCAAGTTTCCCAGAACGCATATTATTAAACTCGACGGAAATTGTCCACCAACACAGATGTTTTATGTAAGTATTGAGCACATTGTTTTTTATTTGACATTCCTTGGCCCCGTGTCAGATCTATTGTTCTTCAGAGTAAATAAAACTAGATAATCAGACGAAGTCTGGGCTTGTTTATGACAGAGCCATACAATGAGCCGGTTAGACATTATTTTTCTCGGCTATGTCGAAGGCGGTCTTGGAAAATGGAGCTCCAAACCATCATAGAAGACGCCAACTTAGCATCTGTTTTTGTCATTTCACAGAGAATAATCCTGAGCATTAACTGCAGGCTTTGGATGAATGGTGTTTTTTGACTTTGCTAAGCAGAATCTTATGGTGAAGGTGAGGGCCCTTTCCATTCGACCTGCAATTCCACCCTTTCATCTGTTGCTCAAATCTGAAGATGAAGAGGGGGAGGAGGAGGAAGAGCCAGAGAAAGAGGAAGGGGACAAATCTGCAGCCGAACCAGAGCCTGATAAACTCGATGAACCTCTGGGTGAGAAGGAGGTGTTTGATGCAGATACTGATGCTGATCTGGAGGTTAAGGGGGAAAGCACAGACTGGGAGGAAGTCATCTCCTCCCTGGAGGTCTGCAAAATGCCAACTGAGCACTCCAGATGGCAGTTGAGCGAGTGGCAACGCTTCTGTCCCGTACAACTTTACAATGGCATTCTTGAATATGGAAAAGTGCAGTTCGCCTGTGGGTAAGTCTAGAGCAGTGCGTAAGAGCATCTACTCAAATTGTCTGGCGCTGTAAAGTGCACTAGGAAGATTCAAGAATCATATAAAACGGAAATAATAAAGGACCAACCTAAAAATGGAATTCATAAACATAATGCATAGATTAATGAACTAATCGACGTAGATAAGCAATGGTTAACCCTTCGTATGCGTATATTCATCTCGAGACGTTGCTACTTTTATTCATTTCAGTAGCAATTATTTATTGCAAGGAATGATGGCCAACCTTAAATTTTAAAAGATTTTTGGGCTACCTCTACTTCCTATCCTGCCGCGCGGCTCTCCAATCCTTCATCCGAAATCCACGTCCCTACCTCGACTTCCAAATTCCGCAACCCAAATTTACAGTGCGAATCGCCGTGGTAGGGTTCCGGAAATCAGGTTCTGCCACCCTCTGTCGCTTAGTGGCAGACCGTCACGGTGCCGTTTGCATCAGCCTGACAGAATTGCTTCGCAAAGACCTTGATGAGCAATTAAAGATAACGCTGGCAAGAGTGAAGTCGGAGGTAGAGACCGCTATGATGGAGAAGTTGAATAATCAGAGGAAACGGGAAATTGATGAAATAAAAACAAGTAATTAACGTATAGTTTTATCACGAAAACCCATAATATAGCAAGAGCATACGTTTGTAACGGACTTGAAATTGATGTTCTGCTAACTTAAGGACTTAATTTGTTAAATTGTTACCTAGTTTACACAAAACATCACTAACCTACTTATGCGCATTATCCGTAGAATGCACTTGGAATTGTAAAAATATATAATCAAGTCTTAGCCCTGAGAAATAGGCGATTTTGAGAGAGAAATGATGCTCATTATCCAAAGCTAAGTGAGCCCAAGTACCTACGGTAAAATAAGAAGGAGAAGGTTAACGAAACTGTAAATTGAAGCCAACCAAATGGATAGCCAAATTTTATCATTTTAGACAACTATACTGACAACGCTCTCCTGCAAATGACTACTGACACTGTAAATACCATAGCTGGTGAGGCAATGGAAAAGGTCATCATGTCAAAGACAGGAGAGGATGAAACAGACGGTAAAATTATAAACGTTTACGGCCCATTTTGTTTACCTTAACAGTGTAAGTCATTAAAATATCTCAACTTGCATAAGTAGTAACGGCGATTAAAATCTTGCCAATTGGAAATAAGAAATTTTGTCCTCCTCTTTCCCTTCTAACTTACACATCGAAAAAAATACTATTTGTTAAAAGTTTGGCCACTTGGCTGATATAATGCACATATCAGTATTGGTATCAGGGCTTATTACCTTCTAATAATGTCTGCTTTTCTCAACAGACAAAGCATTCTGTTATCACTAAGGGATCGCGGATCGACACCATTAGTTCAGCTAACCACCACCTATGGCATGAAGCATAAATAATGTCTGCAACTTTAAAGAGGTGGATACACAAGATTTTGCTTCTTTAAGATAATAAAAATTTGTTACTTCAAGCATTCCAAACCTCCATTTAATGTATGGTTTTGTAACCATTTGTGGATTTGAATTTGTAGATCAAATGAACGAATAGATATTGTTGCCTCAAAAGCAACGCATCTACTAAAAGAATAAGTTCCTTAAAAATCTTTAAACACAAAACTGACCTAATTTGGCCAGCAAGTTTATCGCTGTTTTAACCTCTCAGTGTTTAAATTCACTACGTTGGCGTTCCCGATTGTTGATTTTCGCTTACGAATCTCAGTATTATACGCAATTAAATTTGGTTACGACAATGATACATAAGCTCTTGTCATCATCGAGAGTTTACTGAGCTTTGACTTTCTCATTTGTTAATGCTACAAGGAAGATAGGGACTTAACCACTCTTATAAGCACAATAAAAACTCAAACAATTGCATGATTGTTAGCTGGAAACATTGAATTATTTCTCTCAAACAGAGAACGTGGTGCTGTTTCTTTGAATTATTAACACCCTTCTATACTCTGATAACTAAAATTTGCCCACTGTGAAGTTAAAGACAAGTGTTCTGTCTCCTATTGAAAGTCATAGTTTTACATCGGTGCAGTGTCTGCCACAAAATGGTTGCCATCGTAAATTGGGTGTCACAGAAGTGCTTCTGATCTACGCCCGACTCAGCTGCACGTGGTGCTTGAAATGCTAAGCAATCAAAATAGTGTTATGTAAATCAAAGCTCAATGTATCACGAGATTGGAGAATGATTGCATTATAAGCCGATAACTAGCAAAGCATTCATGTGACACTTTTGCCCTAGGGACAGTTTCAATTTGCCTTCTGTTTCCCTTTTTTAGCGGGTGCGAGATCTAAAAAAGTTTCATGTAAGTAGAACCACCTTTTGCTATCAGCTTCTTATATGGCACAGGTAAGTAGAACAATTCGTGGTAGTTTATGTAACATTACAGAGCGTGGGAAGGCCTTTGCAATGCCTGATAAAGTAAAGGTCTTGATGTTGTGAAAGTTCTTGATGATGAGTGGCTTGGTGTAATAGAGGTCAGCAAGACTTGCTTGCGTCCAAAAAGCTTGTGTGCACTTTTAAAAGGAATTAATATCCCAGCTAGCAGAATGCCTTACATTTTAGCCAGTCCGACCTTTAGATGGAATCGAGTTTGATGTGACTCCTTTTTACTAATCGGTTAAGAGTGTTAGGAGTTACTCAAGACCGTTGACTGCAGTGTTCCCCTTGGTACACAAAGCTTGAGCTTCCTTGTAGTTTTAATGGCGAGAACTAGCGAACATAGGAGGGATCTAAGAGCATGAATTTAGCCTCCTGTTATCAGTTGACCAGATTTGGCAAAAAGTGTTCATTTATTGTTCCCTATTCCAGTGTGGTATCCACTTTTGCCTCCACATGAAATTCCGCTCGTTATTCCAAACCGTAAATCAATTTTTTTGTTGCTTTTTTACTTGTTTGTTGCCTGTTTTGTTGGAAAACTTGGACATTTAGAGAGCCCGGACAGGTGTTGGAGGAGACAATACCAGACATTGGATCCTTCATTTTCACAAATATTTACAATTCCTTATGTTAGAGCAGTCCTTGCCAGAGTGGAGTGGGGTAAAGGAATAGAAGAGGGAGAGAATTACGGAAAGGGCGTAACCGTCTTGGCAGAGTATCCCCACTGAGGCACGCATGCCCCATTAGTCACTGTCTCTGACTTTACCGGCAAGAATAGAATCCACAGCCAAAATTAGACGTTGATGGGAAGCAGGGAGTAGGATAATGGAATAGGAAGCTTTAGTGCCCTTTCAACTACCTATTCTTACTTAACTAGCCTCAAAAAGTTTCGCAAATAAAAGTCATTTTCCCAAAATCGCATCTACGTTTTTGAGTTGGCTTAATTCCTTCCTTTTGTCGCGCATTTATTCGACCCTCCATCTTTTCCCCAGGTTTGAAAGAGGTAATCACCTCTGAACATCCTCAAGTTGTTGAAGCGGTGACTAGAGCTTTGCGATTCGTCAAAGCCCAACCCAATTACCTCGAGCCCAAGCGCTACGTGGATGCCCTGGTTGGGGAGTTGGCAAGACTGGATCGTGAAAATCAGAACGTCACGCCATCCAAACGAAAGTTAGTGTTGCTAGCTATTTGACTCTCACTTTCTTATCGCCATCACTTCACTTCATTTCTTGCTGAGCATACACAGCGGAGTGCGGAGACGAGTCACGGAGGCTGTCGCCTGTCAAGGCATCCCCAAATCCAACTCTTGGAGAATGAGATAATTGTAGCCTCTTGATTTCTTTTGCCTGGCGTTGGTGTTTATAGAAGCCAGGCTTAAAGCTATTTGGAGCTAAAAAAGGAGTAAAAGAGGAGGTTTATTTGGAATAAGTGATAAAAAGTAGCAGTTATTGTTGCCTTTATTACTGCCCCCACCCATTATCTCACTTAGCTAGCTACCAGAGGGAATTTATGCACAAAGTGACATTTCTCTTTAAAAATTGTGCCTAGGCCACTTAGCTGGGTGATTGAAGGTCTGCCTCCATTGGAAGAAGTATGGCAAGAATTAAAAAAGCGCTCCCGATTAGTTGCCAAAGAAGTTAAATACGTGCGTCAAGCCTTTGAGACTGTCTATAAACTTGAACGTGCAATGCATCGACTCGAGACTAACAAAACAGCCATGGAAGAGGAGGAGGAGGAGGAGGAAGAAGAAGAGGAGACAGCTGGAAAGGAAGAAGCCATGATGGAAGGCGAGGCGGGTGGTACTGGTGGAGACAAAGAGGTGATAAAGAAATCTCCCAAACCTGACGAATCAGCCAACCCCTATGCAAAAAAACTGGATCCTCGTCTAGTGAAAGCTCGGGAGGTGGCTGATGAAGCAGCTGCCAGAGTTATTCCCTTGGATCCCATGCCTCCGTACGTGTTCAAGTTGAGCGACGCCCTACCAGATTACGCACTCATGATTCATCGTCTCTATGCAGTTGGATTTGGACCACTAGAAGGTGAGGCATTTAAGTCTTCCCCTAAGGCATCAATTCTGGACATTAGATCTAATTCAAGTTCTTCATTTTCGCAGATACACTATTAATCAGTTTGGGCTTAGGTGTGCCTACTGATTTCATTATTAAGTAGAATGGTATATCGAATTTCATTTCTGAAGTTAATTGATTTTTTATTGTGTTTATAACACAAGTAACTCAGAGCTTTGAGTGTTTACGGGTTCACAAGACTTATCAAAAGCATCGGTCGAAAATTGCGAGTGTTCGGCCTTGATTTCCCCATCTGTAGATCTGCCAGCATTGGCTAAAGCTGAAGGCATGGACGAGAGTGCCATAGAACCCATGGTCGCTACAGGAGTCTCGGAAAAAGAAGCCAGTAGAGGAAGGAGTGATGCGATTCATGATGAAGACGATGCAGTTACAGAGCCTCCTGAGGATCCACCAACCTCGGGTCAAATCTATCATCCAATGCCTCAACCTGGTCCAGAAGTGGACTGTGTACGAGATCAATTGGTACAATTTGACAAAGCCTGGGAGGCATCAAGACTAAATTTGACGGGCTCAATTACGGCACATGGGTTCCCTGTACAAGTGCAGGACTTGCACATTCATAAGGACAAGACATTAGACAGTCTCCTGTTGGAGGTAAACAACAAATTCGGAAGTGAGTGATTACATTTCAAATCTTTTTGTTTTGAATTGCAACTAAGCCAGTGATTTTACTCTTCTTCTAAACACCGTTAGTAACTGACATCGAACTTATATCATATTTTAGGAATCAAAGGCACTAATGATCTTGTTTTTGCCGATTTGATTAGTTTTGATCGTGTATTGGGCTTTAAGCCGCATTCGTCCTTGATACTAGCCAATCAGAATACAGATTTAAAGCCTGAGCTCTGGATCCACCCCAAAAAAGGGACAAATCATAAAAGAACGAAAACAGTGAGTTGAAAGCCTACAGACATTGCAAAAGGGTAGATTGATGGAAGATGAGCTCAAATTGGAGAGATTAAAGGGCTTACGTGTTACGCCTTGTTCGGCTTCCTCTTCTGTAGGGATTAGCATACATTTCTTGTCCACTTTCATGTCTAGAGCTATTTACATTCACGGCAAAGGAGTCCTCACAGGAGATGCTAGACGAGGAGGCCGAGGCTGAAATAGAAGGATTTGCGGAGACTGGTGGTTTGGAGGACAATCCGACACTCAAAGCATCTGAAGACGAAGAAGAAGAAATGGAGGAAGGAGAGGGAGGCGGAGAGGCAGAGGAAGGCGACGAGGAAGTAGAGGAAGCTGCAGCTGTACGTCTACATAGTCATGCATCAAAATGTCATTTGTATTGACTAATTTCTCTGACAGGTAGAATGTAATCACTTAAGGAAAATGAAGAGGAGGTAGAAGAAGAAATGGAAGCAGAGGAGGATATCACCAGAAGTCCAAATCGAAAATTTGGTCAAACAAGTTACTTTTGTCCAGTGGCTTATCATGATTATCGCATTCTAAAACCCGGTGATCCCGATCTTGTGGCCACCTATAAGGGTCTCATTTATTACCTCGGTAATGAGAGTGACATGGCCAAATTTATGGCCACCCCAGAGAAGTACGTGAGGTGTGGACATCAGCCGCCCTTGAAGGTGAGTTCAACGCCTTGTCAGCAGGATGACAAGACGAGAGGATGAATAACGCAGAGGTTTTTCTGTAGCCTCCACCTTTGAGAATTGCGTTGCTGGGACCACCAGGAACAGGCAAGACACTACATGGACGTCAAATTGCTGGCCAATTTGATCTCATTCACGTGAGCTTCAACCAATTGCTACAAGATGTGATGATGCAAAAGTTGAAA